AAAATGATAAAAGAATACAACGGCACGCGGTGTTCCCAAGCGGTCACCCAACGAAGTACTAACCGCGCCCGATGCTGCTTAACTTCAGAGATCGGACGGGATCTCATTCATTACAAACAGTCTTTATTTATTTACAGTATACTACATCGTCAAAGCCATATTTACATTATATACAATAAACATATACAACATAATATCGTAAATAAACTATAGATTGTCGTCAACGACGCTGGCGTGACACCCGCGTCGTCCGGCCATGTTCGGGCGAATGTTGCGGCCCTTTGGTCCGGCTTGAAGTCTTTTGGTTTACAGCGCCCTCCGGGTCCATGGCGCGTTTTGGTTACTCGTATCGAAATTCCAATTAATGCTACGACATAATATCAACGATAGCAATGCGGGGAGGGTGTTTTTATTCAATTGAAAGGAAACTAGTCTTAGTAAAAACCTTTTTTAGAAGAATTGATAGTTTTATTACATTCCAAAAATCGTCGAAGATGTTTGCGTATGTACTTAAGTAAGTTGGTGGGGATGGTACAGCGCGAAACATGTATTTTCGTTTGGGCGTGCCGAAGTGAAAGGAACAAAAATTTTAGTTTTTTGTGGTTTCGCGCTATGTATGTTTTTAAGGCTGTTTGTTTGCCTATTGGCTTGAAGTAATTGAGGCGGGATTTGCGTTCGTTATATGTCTTCGTTGAACAATGGAAGATGTTGATAAAGAAGTTTGTGTTGGTTTAGTCCGTCTATGTGTCGTCTATTTGTAATGTCTGTCGTGAGAGGCGATTGATGAATTTGAACTCGGAAGAATTTATCAGATATTGTGTTGATATAATCACGCAAGTGAGGGACTTGGGAGATCTCGTGTAGTGTTCGGATTCGAATACAACGTCCCTTATTTGTGGCATGTCTTAGGATCTTATTTTGAAAACGTTGGAGTTTGGTGAAATGAGATTGAGCTGCTCCTCCAAATATGGGAGCACCGTACAAAAGGATGGGTCTTAGGACTGTCTTAAAAATAAGAATTTTATTTGGGATTGAAAGGGCAGATTCCCGACAAGTCAGAGGGTACAATTTATGTATGGCTGCACTTATTTGCTGGATGCGACGATTGATATGGGGACCGAATTTGAGTGGTTGATCTAAAGTAAATCCTAAATAATTTACCCTGGTTTTTGGTTCGATGATGGTATTGTGGATATTGAGTTTTTGTATTATGCGATTATCGTTATTGAAAAAGAATTTGCGGGTAAGAATGATTTGTTCAGTTTTGCTGGGGTTCAATTTTAATTTCCATTTTTGGAAAAAGGGAAGGAGGGAACGTAGATGAAAAAGGATCTGTCTGTTAGCGATCTCGGCCCTATGGGAGTGGGCGTAAATAATGGTATCGTCGGCATATTGGAGGATTTGCGTCTTTGGGTGCGTTGGAATATCAGCTATATACAATGTATATAGTCGTGCAAGCACTGTGCCCTGCGGAACTCCGGCGTTTATTACGCCGGGTACAGAAAGGGTGTTATATACGCGTACTGAGAAAGTACGGCTCTGTAGATAAGAGCCGATGAGTCAGGTAAGATTTGGGGGAAAGTTAAGGATGTGGCCCAGTTTGTACAAGAGTCCATGCCATACCGTGTCAAAAGCCTTCTCCATATCGAGAAGTGTCGCGACGGTTAGCATTCTGCGGTTAAACGCAAGTACAGTCTCATGCGCAAGCTTGGCCACGGGATGAAGGGTGGAGCGGCCTTTGCGAAATCCGAATTGAAAATTTGTTTTTCAGCGAAGTTATTGATCCTAGTAAGGATGATACGTTCTGCAACTTTGGACATTGTGTTGAGAAGTGAAATAGGCCGATAGCTATTGAGTAGTTTAGGGTCCTTGCCGGGTTTGCAAATTGGAATTACAATAGATTTTTTCCATTGTGCGGGAAAGTGCTGCAGAACCAGTACGGCTTTGAGAATATAAAGGAGTTTGATGATGGCTTTGCGTGGTAAATTCCTGAGCAATATATTAGATATATTGTCAGGGCCCGGGGCTTTATTATATGGCAACGTCTTTATGACGGCTCGTAATTCGTCAAGTGTGACGTGAAGATGCCGACGTATATTGGGGGCCGGTTCTGGAGCAGGTAAGTCATCGACGGTTGGAGCCTCGGTCTCAAAAAGACGATGGTCTTCGGTAGTGTTGGGGGCAGGGGTGTGGACGTCACGGAGATGGGCGGCTAAGCATTCGGCCTTATCGAGGTCTGTCATATGGCCCCCTTCGAGGGTGGGAATTAGGGGAAAGCTCCGCCGAAGGCACTTCGTCAGCCTCCAAAGCGACTTGTCTGTGCTGCTAAGAGCCTCTAATCGATCTGCCCAGATACGATTCTTACGGGTGTATATTGCTACTCGTATTTCGTCTTGAAGTCGTAAGTATTGTTGTCTGTCTTGAGGTCGCCTCGTCCTCTGCCATCGTTTGCGAACCGAGTTCTTCATTCGGATCCGCTCAACAATGTCGTCGGGGAGACGATCCTCTAAAGGCTTAAGAATGACCTTTCTGGCCACTATATTTCTGGCATTTTGAATGTTTGCTGTTAATTCTTCTACTTCTTTTTCGAGAGTTGGGACGTTCTGTATATTTGTGTTAATAGTTGTCGTTTGGTTGAGTATGTGTCTATAGCGACGCCAGTCGACATTTTTATAGACATAAGTCGGTCTGTCTGTTTGTTCCTTGTGTACGTTAGTAACCTGGAACACCAATGGGAATGATCGCTCGGCACTACATTGGGAGCAACTGGTGGAATGAAGTTTGTTACGTCTTTATTGACGACAATGTCAATAAAAGTTGGTGCCATTTATAGGGTAGTGTGTGGGAGTATCACTCGTATGTACTGCCAACAAGTTGTGAGTAGCGTAGTTAAATATTGTTAACCCATTCCGATTATTAACATGATTATTCCAGGTTACGTGTCTAGCGTTGAGATCACCGGCTAACAGAACTTTCTGGGATTGGGAGAAGACGGTGTCCATATCTTGAAGCGTGATCATATTGTGGGGGGAATTGTAGGCCAAACAAATGCTCATGCCGTCAATGAATCTGAAATTAAAATTTTCGAAGCTTAAATTAAGATGCGTCATTACGTGGGGTATGTTGGTTTTTATTAAAATCGCCATGCCTCGCGTATTATTATTTCTGTTTCGGTCTCGTCTATATACAGTGTGGTTTTTAATTTTGAGTCGGTTCTCAGGCGAAAGAAGCGTCTCTGAAATGGCTGAATTAGTTCCCCCACTCGCCTTTTAAGGCTGTTTGAATTCCAAGTCGCTATTTTTAAATTGAACGTGCTTTCAGATGTCGAACTCGTCAACGTTATTTTGAATAAAGTCTGCCAGTAACATAGCTCGTTCAATTTTATTAGTAACACCTTCGACGGTTCTATAAAGTGCTTTTAAAAAACGGTTTAACCCCCTGAAATTGATTGCACCCTCCCCGCTTAACAGATTGAGCGTTTCTTGAAATTCCGAGATGCCATTGTAGTTGTTGGAGGGGCCTGCTCGTTTCGATTGATCCGCCGCCGGTGCGTGCTGCTGTGGATGACTAACATGGACGGGTGGTTTGGACGACTGTTGTGATCTGCTTTGTTGAGCGTCTCTGGCGTTCTCGTCTCGGGGATCGGTGCTTCTTTGAATTCAGCTCTATTGTTGGATACCACTTCTTTCTTCTGGATTTCTTGGAGTTTCTTTTGGTAGATGGGACATTCGGTATTGCATGCCGTGTGACTTCCTCCGCAGTTAGCACAGGTAGCGGGGGTGTCGGGTGTTTTTGTGCATTCCTTTGTGTGGTGTCCCTGCGCGCACTTTATACATTTGGGCGGCCTATAACAGTTGGATGTCGCGTGTCCCCAAGCCTGACATCGGCGGCACTGGATGATCTGTCTTTCGTTCTTTCTTCGCTCCCAGGACACTTTTGTGTGCGAAATATACTTAACTTTATTTTCAAGTTCCTTTAGAGTAATGCTGGATGGACAAATGACTAGATAAAGTTGGGCCTTGCTGCGTGCTAGGTCCTTGCGCATTTTATATATATTTTTTACCTCAATTTCATATTCGTCCATAAGTTCTTCTTTGATTATATCGATATTTAAATCTAGCAGTCCCCTAAGAATAAACCCATGAGTTTTTTGGGTAGCCGCCGTATAAGTGTGGAAGGATAAGAATTCTTCTTTTTTGCGAATACTCGCTTCCTGATCATTTATTAAGACGTCCTTAAAGCGAAAGTATTCATCGTAGTCTTTGATGTAAATTAGTGTGGATTGATAAGCATATTTTAAACTAAACCCTTTCTTGACGTGTCTGCTGATATCTTTTACTAATCCATTATGGTCGGTGATAACTGACTGGATCACTATTGGCGGTGGATTTTTTGTCCTCTTTTGGGCGGGTCGTCCTCTTCTTTCTGTTGTTGTTTTTGCCTTTTTTGCGGTACGTGCGACATTAGTTGCGGTGTCGGTCTCTTCTTCACGATCTGATTGGTCGTTGCCGTTTCCTTCCACTTCCATATGCGGCCTCAAGCGGCTGGTATGTATTTTTTGTTGATGTGGGCGGCGCCCAACGAGCTAACTTTGCAATGTTTGTTTTGCGGACATACTTTTTCGGACTTATGTACTCCGGATCAGTTTCCATTCAGGAGCCTGCTTGCGGAGAGTTTAGCGGGGGCTCTGGGGTCGCGCTCGGAGTTCTCGACTTGGGAGTATTTGACATTGTATCTTGGGGTACCGTTGCTTGCGCATGCGCAGTTCGATATTCGGCACTGGAGGAGCGTTTAGAGCCAGTCCTAATCGGACTTTTGTCAGGCTTAATCGCTTTATCTGAGCACATACACGCACAATCGCATTTATACGTCCGTACGCTAACGCTGCTCAGACAGGACTGAGACGGGATCTGGTGTATCAGCGTGGTATGGCCGTTGCATGGAAAATTAAATTTCTTTAAAGAACGTATACTAGAATTGGCAACACAAATGATAAAATAATACAACGGCACGCGGTGTTCCCAAGCGGTCACCCATCCAAGTACTAACCCCGCGCCCGACGCTGCTGAACTTCAGAGATCGGACGGGATCTGGTGTATCAGCGTGGTATGGCCGTTGCATGTAAAATTTAATTTCTTTAAAGAACGTATACTAGAATTGGCAATAAAAATGATAAAAGACAACGGCACGCGGTGTTCCCAAGCGGTCACCCATCCAAGTACTAACCGCGCCCGACGCTGCTTAACTTCAGAGATAGGACGGGATCTGCTGTATCAGCGTGGTATGGCCGTGTCATGGAAAATTTAATTTCTTTAAGGAACGTATACTACAATTGGCACTAAAAATGATAAAAGAATACAACGGCACGCGGTGTTCCCAAGCGGTCACCCATCCAAGTACTAACCGCGCCCGACGCTGCTTAACTTCAGAGATCGGACGGGATCTGGTGTATCAGCGTGGTATGGCCGTTGCATTTAAAATTTAATTTCTTTAAAGAACGTATACTAGAATTGGCAATAAAAATGATAAAAGAATAAACGGCACGCGGTGTTCCCAAACGGTCACCCATCCAAGTACTAACCGCGCCCGACACTGCTTAACTTCAGAGATCGGACGGGATCTGGTGTATCAGCGTGGTATGGCCGTTGTATGGAAAATTTAATTTCTTTAAAGAACGTATACTAGAATTGGCAATAAAAATGATAAAAGAATACAACGGCACGCGGTGTTCCCAAGCGGTCACCCATCCAAGTACTAACCGCGGCCCGACGCTGCTTAACTTCAGAGATCGGACGGGATCTGGTGTATCAGCGTGGTATGGCCGTTGCATGTAAAATTTAATTTCTTTAAAGAACGTATACTAGAATTGGCAATAAAAATGATAAAAGAATACAACGGGCACGCGGTGTTCCCAAGCGGTCACCCATCCAAGTACTAACCGCGCCCGACGCTGCTTAACTTCAGAGATCGGACGGGATCTGGTGTATCAGCGTGGTATGGCCGTTGCATTTAAAATTTAATTTCTTTAAAGAACGTATACTAGAATTGGCAATAAAAATGATAAAAGAATAAACGGCACGCGGTGTTCCCAAGCGGTCACCCATCCAAGTACTAACTGCGCCCGACGCTGCTTAACTTCAGAGATCGGACGGGATCTGGTGTATCAGCGTGGTATGGCCGTTGCATGTAAAATTTAATTTCTTTAAGGAACGTATACTACAATTGGCACTAAAAATGATAAAAGAATACAACGGCACGCGGTGTTCCCAAGCGGTCACCCATCCAAGTACTAACCGCGCCCGACGCTGCTTAACTTCAGAGATCGGACGGGATCTGGTGTATCAGCGTGGTATGGCCGTTGCATTTAAAATTTAATTTCTTTAAAGAACGTATACTAGAATTGGCAATAAAAATGATAAAAGAATAAACGGCACGCGGTGTTCCCAAGCGGTCACCCATCCAAGTACTAACCGCGCCCGACACTGCTTAACTTCAGAGATCGGACGGGATCTGGTGTATCAGCGTGGTATGGCCGTTGCATGGAAAATTTAATTTCTTTAAAGAACGTATACTAGAATTGGCAATAAAAATGATAAAAGAATACAACGGCACGCGGTGTTCCCAAGCGGTCACCCATCCAAGTACTAACCGCGCCCGACGCTGCTTAACTTCAGAGATCGGACGGGATCTGGTGTACCAGCGTGGTATGGCCGTTGCATTTAAAATTTAATTTCTTTAAAGAACGTATACTAGAATTGGCAATAAAAATGATAAAAGAATAAACGGCACGCGGTGTTCCCAAGCGGTCACCCATCCAAGTACTAACCGCGCCCGACGCTGCTTAACTTCAGAGATCGGACGGGATCTGGTGTATCAGCGTGGTATGGCCGTTGCATGTAAAATTTAATTTCTTTAAAGAACGTATACTAGAATTGGCAATAAAAATGATAAAAGAATAAACGGCACGCGGTGTTCCCAAGCGGTCACCCATCCAAGTACTAACCGCGCCCGACGCTGCTTAACTTCAGAGATCGGACGGGATCTCATTTCATCATTTCAAACAGTCTTTATTTATTTACAGTCTACTACATCGTCAAAGCCATATTTACATTATATACAATAAACATATACAACATAATATCGTAAATAAACTATAGATTGTCGTCAACGACGCTGGCGTGACACCCGCGTCGTCCGGCAGTGTTCGGGCGAGTGTTGGGGCCCTTTGGTCCGGCTTGAAGTCTTTTGGTTGACAGCGCCCTCCGGGTCCATGGCGCGTTTTGGTTACTCGTATCGAAATTCCAATTAATGCTACGACATAATATCAACGATAGCAATGCGGGGAGGGTGTTTTTATTCAATTGAAAGGAAACTAGTCTTAGTAAAAACCTTATTTAAAAGAATTGATAGTTTTATTACATTCCAAAAAACGTCGAAGATGTTTGTTGTTGTTAAATTGGTGGGGATGGTACAGCGCGAAACATGCATTTTCGTTTGGGCGTGCCGAAGTGAAAGGAACAAAAATTTTAGTTTTTTGTGGTTTTTTGTTGTTTGTTTGCCTATTGGCTTGAAGTAATTGAGGCGGGATTTGCGTTCGTTATATATCTTCGTTGAACAATGGAAGATGTTGATAAAGAAGTTTGTGTTGGTTTAGTCCGTCTATGTGTCGTCTATTTGTAATGTCTGTCGTGAGAGGCGATTGATGAATTTGAACTCGGAAGAATTTATCAGATATTGTGTTGATATAATCACGCAAGTGAGGGACTTGGGAGATCTCGTGTAGTGTTCGGATTCGAATATAACGTCCCTTATTTGTGGCATGTCTTAGGATCTTATTTTGAAAACGTTGAAGTTTGGTGAAATGAGATTGAGCTGCTCCTCCAAATATGGGAGCACCGTACAAAAGGATGGGTCTTAGGATTGTCTTAAAAATAAGAATTTTATTTGGGATTGAAAGGGCAGATCCCCGACAAGTCAGAGGGTACAATTTATGTATGGCTGCACTTGTTTGCTGGATGCGACGATTTATATGGGGACCGAATTTGAGTGGTTGATCTAAAGTAAATCCTAAATAATTTACCCTGGTTTTTGGTTCGATGATGGTATTGTGGATATTGAGTTTTTGTATTATGCGATTATCGTTATTGAAAAAGAATTTGCGGGTAAGAATGATTTGTTCAGTTTTGCTGGGGTTCAATTTTAATTTCCATTTTTGGAAAAAGGGAAGGACGGAACGTAGATGAAAAAGGATCTGTCTGTTAGCGATCTCGGCCCTATGGGAGTGGGAGTAAATAATGGTATCGTCGGCATATTGGAGAATTTGCGTCTTTGGGTGCGTTGGAATATCAGCTATATACAATGTATATAGCCGTGGGGCAAGCACTGTGCCCTGCGGAACTCCGGCGTTTATTACGCCGGGTACAGAAAGGGTGTTATTTACGCGTACTGAGAAAGTACGGCCCTGTAGATAAGAGCCGATGAGTCGGGTAAGATTTGGGGGAAAGTTAAGGACGTGGCCCAGTTTGTACAAGAGTCCGTTATGCCATACCGTGTCAAAAGCCTTCTCCATATCGAGAAGTGTCGCGACGGTTAGCATTCTGCGGTTAAACGCAAGTACAGTCTCATGCGCAAGCTTGGCCACGGGATGAAGGGTGGAGCGGCCTTTGCGAAATCCAAATTGAAATTCGGGGGTCAAATTTTGTTTTTCAGCGAAGTTATTGATCCTAGTAAGGATGATCCGTTCTGCAACTTTGGACATTGTGTTGAGAAGTGAAATAGGCCGATAGCTATTGAGTAGTTTAGGGTCCTTGCCGGGTTTGCAAATTGGAATTACAATAGATTTTTTCCATTGTGCGGGAAAGTGCTGCAGAACCAGTACGGCTTTGAGAATATAAAGGAGTTTGATGATGGCTTTGCGTGGTAAATTCCTGAGCAATATATTAGATATATTGTCAGGACCCGGGGCTTTATTATATGGCAACGTCTTTATGATGGCTCGTAATTCGTCAAGTGTGACGTGAAGATGCCGACGTATATTGGGGGCCGGTTCTGGAGCAGGTAAGTCATCGACGGTTGGAGCCTCGGTCTCAAAAAGACGATGGTCTTCGATAGTGTTGGGGGCAGGGGTGTGGACGTCACGGAGATGGGCGGCTAAGCATTCGGCCTTATCGAGGTCTGTCATATGGCCCCCTTCGAGGGTGGGAATTGGGGGAAAGCTCCGCCGAAGGCACTTCGTCAGCCTCCAAAGCGACTTGTCTGTGCTGCTAAGAGCCTCTAATCGATCTGCCCAGATACGATTCTTATGGGTGTATATTGCTACTCGTATTTCGTCTTGAAGTCGTAAGTATTGTTGTCTGTCTTGAGGTCGCCTCGTCCTCTGCCATCGTTTGCGGACCGAGTTCTTCATTCGGATCCGCTCAACAATGTCGTCGGGGAGACGATCCTCTAAAGGCTTAAGAATGACCTTTCTGGCCACTATATTTCTGGCATTTTGAATGTTTGCTGTTAATTCTTCTACTTCTTTTTCGAGAGTTGGGACGTTCTGTATATTTGGGTTAATAGTTGTCGTTTGGTTGAGTATGTGTCTATAGCGACGCCAGTCGACATTTTTATAGACATAAGTCGGTCTGTCTGTTTGTTCCTTGTGTACGTTAGTAACCTGGAACACCAATGGGGAATGATCGCTCGGCAGTACATTGGGAGCAACTGGTGGAATAAAGTTTGTTACGTCTTTATTGACGACAATGTCAATAAAAGTTGGTGTAGTGCCATTTATAGGGTAGTGAGTGGGAGTATCACTCGTATGTACTGCCAACAAGTTGTGAGTAGCGTAGTTAAATATTGTTAACCCATTCCGATTATTAACATGATTATTCCAGGTTACGTGTCTAGCGTTGAGATCACCGGCTAACAGTACTTTCTGGGATTGGGAGAAGACGGTGTCCATATCTTGAAGCGTGATCATATTGTGGGGGGAATTGTAGGCCAAACAAATGCTCATGCCGTCAATGAATCTGAAATTAAAATTTTCGAAGCTTAAATTAAGATGCGTCATTACGTGGGGTATGTTGGTTTTTATTAAAATCGCCATGCCCCGCGTATTATTATTTCTGTTTCGGTCTCGTCTATATACAGTGTAGTTTTTAATTTTGAGTCGGTCCTCAGGCGAAAGAAGCGTCTCTGAAATGGCCATAATATCGATTTGCTCGGCGTGCAGGAACTGAATTAGTTCCCCCACTCGCCTTTTAAGGCTGTTTGAATTCCAAGTCGCTATTTTTAAATTGAACGTGCTTTCACCTAGATGTCGAACTCGTCAACGTTATTTTGAATAAAGTCTGCCAGTAACATAGCTCGTTCAATTTTATTAGTAACACCTTCGACGGTTCTATAAAGTGCTTTTAAAAAACGGTTTAACTCCCTGAAATTGATTGCACCCTCCCCGCTTAACAGATTGAGCGTTTCTTGAAATTCCGAGATGCTATTGTTGTTGTTGGAGAGGCCTGCTCGTTTCGATTGATCCGCCGCCGGTGCGTGCTGCTGTGGATGACTAACATGGACGGGTGGTTTGGACGACTGTTGTGATCTGCTTTGTTGAGGGTCTCTGGCGTTGGTACGTCTCTCCCAGGCATTTTGCTTGGGGATCGGTGCTTCTTTGAATTCGGCTCTATTGTTGGATACCACTTCTTTCTTCTGGATTTCTTGGAGTTTCTTTTGGTAGATGGGACATTCGGTATTGCATGCCGTGTGGCTTCCTCCGCAGTTAGCACAGGTAGCGGGGGTGTCGGGTGTTTTTGCGCATTCCTTTGTGTGGTGTCCCTGAGCGCACTTTACACATTTGGGCGGCCTATAACAGTTGGATGTCGCGTGTCCCCAAGCCTGACATCGGCGGCACTGGATGATCTGTCTTTCGTTCTTTCTTCGCTCCCAGGATACTTTTGTGTGCGAAATATACTTAACTTTATTTTCAAGTTCCTTTAGAGTAATGCTGGATGGACAAATGACGAGATAAAGTTGGGCCTTGCTGCGTGCTAGGTCCTTGCGCATTTTATATATATTTTTTACCTCAATTTCATATTCGTCCATAAGTTCTTCTTTGATTATATCGATATTTAAATCTAGCAGTCCCCTAAGAATAAACCCATGGGTTTTTTGGGTAGCCGCCGTATAAGTGTGGAAGGATAAGAATTCTTCTTTTTTGCGAATACTCGCTTCCTGATCATTTATTAAGACGTCCTTAAAGCGAAAGTATTCATCGTAGTCTTTGATGTAAATTAGTGTGGATTGATAAGCATATTTTAAACTAAATCCTTTCTTGACGTGTCTGCTGATATCTTTTACTAATCCATTATGGTCGGTGATAACTGACTGGATCACTATTGGCGGTGGATTTTTTGTCCTCTTTTGGGCGGGTCGTCCTCTTCTTTCTGTTGTTGTTTTTGCCTTTTTTGCGGTACGTGCGACATTAGTTTCGGTGTCGGTCTCTTCTTCACGATCTGATTGGTCGTTGCCGTTTCCTTCCACTTCCATATCGCCAGGTGCGGCCTCAAGCGGCTGGTATGTATTTTTTGTTGATGTGGGCGGCGCCCAACGAGCTAACTTTGCAATGTTTGTTTTGCGGACATACCTTTTCGGACTTATGTACTCCGGATCAGTTTCCATTGAGGAGCCTGCTTGCGGAGAGTTTAGCGGGGGCTCTGGGATCGCGCTCGGAGTTCTCGACTTGGGAGTATTTGACATTGTATCTTGGGTTACCGTTGCTTGCGCATGCGCAGTTCGATGTTCGTCGGGCTTGTCGTCAAGCGGACTAGCTGAATTGTTTTCGCTGACGATCTCGTTTTTGTTTTTGTTTTTTAAGCACGATGTACTTACTTTTTGTGACTTTTGTTTTATCAGTCGCCACCTGTTTGTTAGATGGTGGTAGTGTGCAACGTCCGTTTTCCTTGTTGTATCTTTGTGGATTCTCAATATTTCTTCTATGTTTTCACTAACTTTCCCTTTACTTTTGTTTCTTACTAGTTTTTGCGAGAGTTCTAGGCATTCGGGGCACTTGCGATGTTTCGAGGTTTCAGTTTTTGTCACAACACTGTTGCTCTCGTATGCGGATTTAAAATCCACACTGCTATTTACACTATGTACACTATTTGGAGATAGCACACCCTCCGATGGGCTAAAAAAGGCCGCAACGGCACTGGGGGAGCGTTTAGAGCCAATCCTAATCGGACTTTTGTCAGGCTTAATCGCTTTATCTGAGCACATACACGCACAATCGCATTTATACGTCCGTACGCTAACGCTGCTCAGACAGGACTGGGACGGGATCTGGTGTATCAGCGTGGTATGGCCGTTCCATGTAAAACTTGATTTCTTTAAAGAATATACACTAGAATTGGCAACAAAAATACAACGGCACGCGGTATTTCCAAGCGGTCATACATCCAAGATTTCAGAGATCGGATATGGCCGTTTCAAGTCAAATTTATTTGCTTTAAAGAATGAATACTGGAACTGTGTTACACAAAACAACGCGGCGGTTTAACTTCCGCTCGCTCCTAGCAGAATCCGTTGTTTTCGTCCCAAAAACTTATATCGGCCATTTTTCGTGTGATTGTGTTTCGGAAGTGCCTGTCAAACAGTTTTAAGTGATTAAGTTCTGCCGGCTCCGCTGTTTTGACCGTTCACGCCGGTATGGAGGCCGGATGGACACGGCTGGCCTTAGGTGGAAGCGGGGGACGCTTTTTTTTTTGGTATTGGTCAAAATCGTTTTTTGTTAGTTAACATTTTGGTTATATTTCTTCTTTGTACGTGTTGGTCAATGACCAAAAGCGAAATGCCTCGACGGAAGTCGGCATTGGGCAAATGATCCTAGCAGTCGAGCTCAACAGTTATTGTGAATCGTACTGTACTACTACTAACAACTGTACACGCTGTTACCATGACAACAGTGTCATGTGTCCGCCATCGTGATAGACTTCAAAGTAAAGGAAGTATATTTTTGGCGGTTCCGGGAGCTTTTCGTGCAAATAGATTTTATTTTATGTGATTCAGATATTATTTTAAGATAAAATGGTAAATAGGTATCTAATAGATGGATCATCTTTTGTAAACAATATAAGAAAGCGATTTCGAAGTAACATAGGAACTTCCCGCAACGCCTAGTTTACTTAACTGGATTCGAAAATCAATAATTCATACTCAAATGAGGATTGCGTTAAATATGTACAAATCTAGGTCAAATTAGAGAAGATTTTTTATCATTTCGTATAAAATTGGTGATGTTGTGCTACTTTTTGGGGAATAACATGCTAGGGAGCAGTGCACAAACAAAACTAATCAGAACGATCGTGTCGAGGTCGAAACAGCGGTTCATATTATTGGAGAACCCCCTTATTGGAGCCAAATTACGTTGTTTTCCAAGCGAAACGGGGCCGGTTTTTTCCTAATCCCCCTACAGTACAGCGAGTCGGAAACAAAATAAACCTATAAAAATGTCAGGGGAAGATAAAAGTGGGCAAAGGCTCACCATATATCCGTCGTAGGTCCACGAGCCGAACTTCATGAAACAAGTTTGTTCGTCGAACGGAAAATATTCGACGTCGATCTCACAAAACGATTTATAGATGGCGGGCGGTTTCCAGATCACTTTGCCGGTGTGATGGAGGATCGCTTTCGTCATGATCGTCACCTCGTAGTTGCCGTCCGCGCTGAAACGATAAAAACGCTTTTTTTACCGCCGTGATGAAAAAGAATGGATTTTCTTTTGGCGTAGATCTTTTACACCCCAAATGATTGTTATGTGATATAGATTTTTGAATACATATTTTATCGTCGAGTTTAGTTAATTAAAATAAGAAAAATAACTAAATAAAAACTTTTATTATTACTCTATAGTATCGTTAAATCGTTCTTACAAATATCCAAAAAGAGACGCATTTTTTATATTATTGTTGCTATTAACAATTGTTAGGTGTTAGTAATAGCAGAATAACAAAAATTGTTAATTTGATTTTCTCATTTAATGTATTTAGAAATAAAAAAGAAATCAATTTCTTTGCCTATTGATTTAGCTATTACACCTATTTTTCATTCAATTGAAAAATAAAACATTATGCCAAAAGATATTTCTAATTTTATCCGTCGGAAAACTTTTGTATAGCAATACCTCTCATTCACTGTACATAATGTATTCGTCAAGGTGTGAAACTCTACTACCTGATCCGACTCGATTTCATGGTATCGGTTCTTAAACGGAAATTAACGGTACGTTTTTGCGCAGGGCGGTGGTGCACCTTTTATTTACCTATGAGTCTCGTTAACGCCGGACGGAATTAGGAAGGATTTTATCCAAAATTTTAAAAATACGAAGTCATAAGGACGTTATAAAGGTGTATCAGCGTGGTATGGCCGTTGCATGTAAAATTTTATATCTTTAAAGAATATATGCTAGAAGTAGCGTTAAAAATTAAGTAAAATTTGGTAATTATTGTAGAACCAATACATTACAATTATTTTTGATGTAAGTAGCTTATACTTTAAATTCATCTAAATCGGGCAAAGTGCAGCAATAATATACTTGCAGTTCTTGCAACTTCCAAGTAACCAGCTGCAATTAATGCGATTTATGGATATTTGCCCTTGTACAATATTTAATTGGGTCTTTAGGCACAATACAAGAATATCCTTTTCAATAATAATACTTTACTGTCGCTTATGCAGGTAGAATGAGCAGGCAAGATTCAAAGATTACAGACAAATATTAGGAAATACCTTCTGACAGCCACTTTTGTTTACTGCCAGCAGCGAATAAACTTATAAAGCAACAACGCAAGTATTAGGAAACGCAAATATTCATCTTGCCACCTCCTTGGTCCCAAGGACTCACTTGTTGTAGAGCACTATGTCGGGCAGCCAGATGTGCTCCGACGGCACGTGCAACGTTTCGACTCCTCCGTAATCGTCGGGGTTCCACTTGAGCTTGTAGTCGTTCCACTCTTGTTCCACCCACACGTTAGTCGTCATTATCTGACTCTTGAGGTTCTGCAACAAAGCTCGTTGGAAAAATACGCGCGCGGGGCGTGGCGGGGGACGGTGGCGGCGTTTATCGCCTCCGAAATATTGGAAAATTAATTAGTTTCCGGAGCCGATAACGAAGTTTAACAGGTGAGCGGCGCGAAAAGGATTGGAAATCCGATAAGGGAGTCGTTGACGATCGGTTTTCCGGTGTCGCTATCGATACCCGATTGATTGATCCGGTATAATTTCGTTCAAATTATGCTGTTCGCCTTTGTCCTAACTCCGTTTTTTTTTGTCAAAAATCCTCCTTGGAACTAGTGTTCGACCTAGAATGCGACCCTTTGAGTCAACATCCTCTGGTGTGACGATATTTTCGCGAGAAGCTGAGTTTGATTAGAATCTGATAAAAATCGACTAGAGAAAGTGAAAATTTACTCATTGCTTTGTTATTTTACGTTGTTATTTCACGTTCTATCCAGAAAGTGATATTTTAAGTTAATATCTGTCAATCTTCCATGTTTCTCTGGTATATCACTCAAAAACTACTGCGATATGATATACGTACTATACAATTATACAATTTTTCAAGTCTACAAAATTCGGACAGTAAAGTACAAGCCGACACATCAAAAATGCACGCCCTGTACACGTTGTAGTTATGTTATTCTTATTGAGCTTCGGCAAATGCCGTCACCTCAAAATGACACTACATCGTAGTACCAAAAATTGTACGATAGTTAGGACGCTTTAACAAAATTTGTATACTTAGGCGAGCCATATAAAAAAGTAAAATCGATGATGGTTTCTTGAAAACCAATTGTAGGTTTAAAATCGAAAAATACCAACAACAAAGTGTTATCTTATATTTCAGCAAGCCATGGAAATTTTTCAAGTTTCTAAATAGGCTTCACAGGACACAACAATCTTTTCATAATTTCATTTTTATTTCCAACAGGTACTGAAATTGCCATCCTTAGTGATGCATGTTAAATGAATGTGAGGTTTAGAGGAAACTAGTGCATTTAATTGCCGGCTTCAGATTAACAATTGTTTAATTGGTTTGGGAAATATCGGCAAAAAAACCGAAAATGGCCGACTTCGTTTTTCGGCAATAAATCCAAAACGATTAAATTGACAGTGGTGACATTATTCAGACACTTTTTTAAGACGGGTAAGCTAGCGTGTATGACATGTCTCAATCGTCTTTTTTCTCTCGCAACCCACATTAACTTTCACTTTTCTTATGGTCGCCATATTGGATTTTATTTTTGGAAAGAGCATAAAATTTTTAGTTTAGTGACGTATCATAAGTACACAAAAGATTTTTAGGTCTAAAAATATTTTATAAGTAGGCCGTGATTTGATTTGTCGCCTTTTTTCCATCTAAAGAAGGCTCTGGCATTGACGTTAAATAATTGAAAGTACCAAAGTTGTGTTTTATTAAATAGTACATTTTCTCTCATTAAAATCATCAATCAATTTAACCGTTTTGGATTTACTGTTGAAAAACGAAATGTGCCATTTTCGGGTTTTTCGAACTATATTTCCCAAAGGAATTGACCAATCCTAAATCTGAAGCCTCTAAATCTTTCCCAATGTAATTTTGGTGTAGGTATAATAGGAATAAACGAACCTGGGACATATTGTATAGTGCCTTATCTTGGCAGGAACATGTTTGAATCAGTTTTACGAGTAATACGGTGCTGTAACATAAATAAATAACTTGTTATAACGTTGCGGAATTGACCGGTCAATTTTTTTTGAGCCAATTGACAGAAATGTATACTTATGTATTTATTTATATTGTGCGTCACGTCGCCATGGCGTCATGGCTGAGAATTAAATGGAGTGGATATTTTTATTGCCATTCCCCGAATCGCTAAATATCGTATTCGGAAATTCCCTGAAGAGGGTTATAGGTAAATCGGACATCACAGACGAATAACAATTTACTATAAAATACATATTATTATTATTAAATAACGAAAGATCACACTCTACGATTGCATGATGTTAGTTAAAACATTTTTTGACTAGTCAATTAAGAAGTGCTCAATTTATCAGCCCAACAATATGTACCACACCAATTGTATAATATTCTATTAAAGAAAAAAGAAATAGGACATAAAAAATGGAACCAGATACAGGATGTACTTTTCTTTAGAGCCATATAAAAAATAAAATTGATTATAGTTTCTTGACAACGAAAAAGTGGATAGTATGTTATTAATTTTTCAACATTTCTTCAAATAAAGCCAGAAAGAAATAAAATGGATAGGGTGAAACTCCCATTTTGAAGTACACTTAGGATCATAACGATATTTGCCATCAGCATCTTTCAAGCACAAAAACAAAGATTTTGTATATCTACTAAACTCAAAGTATAGAACTTATAAAGCGTATTGTGTTTTTGTGTACATAATATCTCAATTTTAATTTGATTAACTTTTCAGCGTACCGAATCGTTATATGAAATTATTTATTTATTAAACATTCTGGGTTAACAAGTACAAATAGATTCCAAGTCCAAGGAGTTTTACATACACTCAAATTTTTGGTTGCGCCGAAGTTTCTAAGAACCCGTATGCGCTTTCTTAAAAATAAAACATAACGTAATGCAATTCAGTCCCCGCCCAACTAATCCAACAAAATATAATAACTAAACAAACCACAGTTCAAAACAACGCACAATAAAGTTCCCTATTTCCAAATATAAATTTACGAGTTTCATTTTTAATTCTACCTATTTTATTCATCAGTCTTATTTTTATTGGGAGGCTATTGTATCATGTAGCCCCCAAATATTTTTATAGAATTCACTTCTCGGCATCGGTACCTGTACTTGTCTATTCATTATTGTTCTAGTGGTATACAGATGATTGATTTAAGGATTCTATTCCGAACCACATTCAATGGTCTAAGTTTAATAATGTGGATACTCATCAACTCAAGGTCAACAAATTTCTACCTCTAAATATCAAGTGGGTTCGTTTTTCTCTGGCTTACCACGTCGATGAGCTGGGACAGTTTGAGGCCCATTTTGACCGTGAGGCGGTCGGTGTTATTGCCGACCGGCCTGATGAGACGGTTGTAGTTGGAGAGCAGATCGTCGTAGAGACGCTTGGCGTCGGGGTTGGCGTCTGCGGGGCCGCCCAGCACGACCCACCACACCACCAGCCAGAGCCTCTTCATCGTCGTCGTCGTCTGCAACGAAAACTTTAAAATGCGAGACACGGACGCCCGTCGTCGGGGCGTCGTCGTCAATTTTCTCCCTCATAACCCGGCGCCGGAAAAAGTTGCTCTATAATCTGTCGGCGTTCCGGGAGTGCCGGGCAAACATTTTTGACTGATTGGGACGTCCTCGAGTGTCGTCGCGGCGCGTTATCTCAATCGATTCGGTTTTGTTGTATTAACGTCGGGGCGCGGGTGGGGGGGGACACTTTGATACGACGCCCCCCCCCCCACCGGAGTTTTATTTAAAAAAAATATATTCTTCCGCGCGGGCGGACTAGGGAAAAAAGTTCGCGACGGCACACGCCCATTTTGGAAAATGGAAAAACGGACGCTTACCGCCGCCCGCTAAGCGTCTCCGTCGCCGGCGCGGCGCCGCCCTCGACCATCGCCGCCCATCGTTTCGATAGCCACTTCC